GGAATTACAGAGGCATCAGTTTGCTGTCAGTGCCAGGAAAAGTGTTCAACAAAGTGTTATTGAACCGGATGAAAGATTCAGTGGACGTCCAGTTTCCAGATAAACAGGCTGGATTTCGTAAGGATCGGTCATGCACAGACCAAAATGCGAAACTACGGATTATCGTTAAACAATCAGTTGAATGGAACTCATTACTGTACATCAACTTCATTGATTATGAGAAGGCGTTTGACAGAGTGAATAGGAGAACATTATGGTAACTTGTTCGTTACTATGGTGTACCTGAGAAGATCGTCAACGTTATCCAGAACTCATACGACGGACTACAGCGCAAAGTAGTGGATGGAGGACAGCTGACAGAGGAGGATTGAAGTCAGATAAGGCTGCTTACTCTTTCTGTTTCTTCTGGTGGTCGACTGGATTATGAAGACCTTGACATCGAAGGGTAAACACAGAATACAATGGACAACTCGGAATCAATTTGACGATTTGGACTTCACAGATGATTTACTTACACGATGTTCTACACCTACCACACAACATAACTTCAGGCTATACACAAAATGATAAATATCTGTATTTTATCAAGTGAATGATTTACTCCTATTGGAGTTTCAGTTAACTGGTCGAATAGCACATTATGTTCTGATTTGCTTGTTTTGCAAATAATCATAGTCTGCAGATGTGTTTTTCATTACTAGTGTATTTTAACCAAATGAATGCTGAATACGTATGTGGATTATTTGATGAATATTTTCTTTTGATACATACTGTGGTCTATCTAAATGAATATCTGATGTGTGGGCGAGAATGTCAATGATTGGTTGTCTCGATGAGTCAGACATTAGAGGGGATGACAGGTGTTATGTGTTATATATATATTTCCCTATCCTTATTATGTATTGACTTATTGACCGTTCCATGTGTCGGATTTTGGTGTGAAATATATTGACGTTATAGTCAGGCTAATATTGTGTTCTTGATCTGAGTTCTGTTGAAGTCCTGTAGAATAGACACTGGGTGGGAATCTAGTGTAGATATTCGTCTAAGATAAATTAACGTCCCACATACGTGTAAGAAGTAAAAGGACTGTTATAACCAGAAACCCCTAAAGTTATAACCAGCATCCTCTCTCTCACTCTCTATACGTTTATAACAATATCAGTATCGATTTCTTATTCGTCTTAAAGTAAAAAGATTTTATTTACTTGTCAGTATCTTCTGTTTCACACTATATGTTTTCTATGACAGTTTAAACCATGGATATCTGTTTTATTCTCCGAAAAAGCTACATAGACTAAGTCTTGAAACTTCAGAACTTCAATTTCCTACTGATTGGGATATCAAAAATACATCATTATTAATCTTCTTTATCAAGAATGTATATTTATATATTCCATTTATTGACTTTACTTTCATTATCTCCTTAACTCTTTCAGTGGTATGTAAGTCATTTCATTTCTAATAACTAGATGACTTTTTTTCTAACTCTCAAGTACAAGCTTGAATTGTGTTTCTAACAGTCCTATTTACATGTACACTTGAATAAAGTTTTCGCCAAGACTTTCAACATATAAACACATATATATTTGTAAAGAAAAATATCGAATTGTGCCATTTATTTATAGAATTTAATATTCAATAGACATCATACCATTCTATACATATTTAATTGGCAACTAATAAATTATGGCAAAAATAGAATTGACTAAGAATTGACTAATCATCATTATTGATAAAGTAATTTATTAGAGAATAGTTTGAGTAAAAACCCTTTTTTTTCTTTATATTAATCTATAGGGAGAACAAAAGTAAATTATATAAACAGATTTTAAAGAATTCCATTAACTCTAATGGGAATATATCAAAGGAAAAACCAATTCTTGTTTTATTTAATCAATTTCTACCAAAAATATATGCTAATTTTTTCGTTAACATTAGTACTCTTTGTAATTAATAACTGAAGTAATAACTGAAAGATTAAAAAGGAAAAATATATATCTTGAATATGAGATGTTTTACAGCAAAAGCATGCTCAAAAGAGACACCAATGTGTAATGAGTGGATAAATGAATGAATAGTGTTGTGATGTGTACTATTGATGTTGTCAGATATAAGTAGTATGTATCACCAATTGAAAGTAGAATGCCTGGTGGTAGAAGATTAAGAAGATCGAAAAGATGCGAACGAGAACAGAGAGTTATTGGTATAGAAAAGAACAGTAAAGTCTGAGACATTTGATGGTTCTCAGATTTTACCAAGAGATTCTGTGTTTTATTGTTCAAATAAATTCAGTTGTTTCTGCTTGTGTTCCCGTTCGCTACAGTGTTTGTATACTTGTTAGAAAATTTGTTCATCTACTTTTCTATCAATTTTTATCTAAATAGTGCTATTTTTTAAACTAAGAATGACTTTAATTATGCAAATGAATGAATTCAATTTTAAATTTTTGAAGAAAATATATGGATAACAATCCGTCTCTGCTTACCATGCTTGTGAATTAAGGTTATATCGAGGCAATACGCACAGTATGCACATATGCCAATTAGAGACTGACCAGTTGCAGTCCTAACAAATCGATGGGAAGATTCAAACAAACAATACTGAATGAATATGGGTAACAATTGTTTATTTATTAATCTTTAACGTTCTGTATAACTTTGACAGTATTTCAGTAGCTGTGATTAACTAGAATCTAACTTTTACTCTTTGTGTATATAAAACTCAACGAAAACTAAAGCTTTTCTTAATAGGATTTAAAAGAATTCTCTTTCGTTGGCTTTGATCCAGTACAATTTTATTGTTATCATTAGGTGTTTTTATTGTCTTACTAAATCATGGTCGTAAATAAACAAGTAATGTACAATTTTGAAAATATTCTCGTTTACAGACTTTCATATGCCAGCAAATTATTGAAAACAGCTGTTTTGACTTAGTTTGAGATAAATTAGCGATGTGATAATGTTCATCCTTCTGGGTGTTGAAGTTAGGACATTTATATCTCATGGCTAGTACATTTCTTTTAGACCACTAGGTTGGAAATCAATACTAGTTGAAAACAACATTAGGAGGCATGTATGAAACAGTAAAGAAATGTGCGGAAATGATTATCGAAAAAGATTAAAACGTGACGAAATGTCACCATTATCCTTGACAAGTGTTAACACGTTCCGATATTTAAAAATAGACCGCACAATCCGATTACAGAATATTATATAACATTTTTTTCCGGAATTTGAAAGATTTCTTTTTCTGTCCTTGCGGGATTACTGTTTTAAGCAGAAATAGCGGGAACATATCAGATTCAAAATCATGGTTAAGAAGTCTCAGAGTTTTATATATGAACTATTTGGTATTTAAAAATTTTAAGATTTAATCACCACGATTCTTTTAAACTTTCGCAAAAAATTGCACTGTTTCCATAGTCATGAACCAAATAATTTACAGCGAATACATCAGTTTATTAAGGAAGTAGATTGTTATCAAATTGTTTTCGCGTATCAGATACTGAAAAAAAGCTCGTGAACCACAACTCCTGACAGTCGTGAATTTGAACTTGGCTATTTAGGTTAGTGGTTCAAAACAGTACCTGAAAGATTCAAGTTTCTTCATTGTTTATACATAAGATCAGAGATTAAATAATAATATATTACAACATGAGCTACTTCTTTAGGGAATTGATAGGTTGACAAAACTGGCGATTGTTAATCTACATTATAGTTTTCTGCACCAGTAACACCCATATTTTAAGTAACTCCTATATTGAAGGTTTATTCATTCATTTATCATTATGTAAGTTGTTTCATTTCCTTTTGTTCTCATTCCATAGAGAAATGACATCATGAAACAACTATCATCATAGGGTTAAACATTTATAACACCAAATGAAAGTCTGTTTATTCAGAATAACAAAAATGTCATTTTTCTGTTACACAAATGAATTCATATTTATGTGTCTCAGACTCCATTAAGTCAAGTAAGACCTTACTTTCATAGGTTACTTTTAATCAGTTGACCTTAATTTGTCTTACTGGTTCACTTCAGAACTCACCATCTTCATATAAAATATTCCTTTTATATCACTCACATACATAAATATGTTAAAGATATTTTTAGTAGGATTGTTTTAAATCATCCATTTTCTTCCTCCTGTTTCATCACTTTCTTTATCATAATCATTCTCTTCTACTATTTGAGTAATATATGTATGTGTGTTAAGAAAAGAAAGGGAATTTTCACTAAGGATAGAAAAATTTTCTCAAGATTTTTTTGGTCAGTTGTTAGTCAAATAAATAAGTAGGATAATAAACAAGCTAACAAGTCACTTCACAAATAAACTAACAAACAAGTCAGCAGGTGAATATGGATAGGCTGAATTCTTTTCTTCTTCTTTTTTTTCATTTTTCATTAGCCAGTCAACACAACCATACCAGCCCTGGGCTTAAAATAACAATAATCATAAGATTAAACAATAATAATGAACATACAAATGAAGAAGATTGTATGTATATGAACTAGGGGAATTGAACACACACGAAGTCAATATGATTAGATAATAAATGAATTATATATAACGATCTATACACGTATATCATATATAACTTTAGAAAAGAGGGAAATATTTGATAATGTGACAATATCGAAGATTATAAGACTAAAATATCAAATATATATCCTCTCTCTATATATGAATATATCTATATAAGTTGAAAAATGCCTTTTAATTCTGGCAAACGCTTGTCAATTACACTAATTAAACTACTACAACTATACATTTGGATTAGTTCATTAAAACAGAATTATTTTTGAAAAAAAATTTGCACATAATCGTCTATACTACTCTTTTCTTTTTATTTACTATATTTATACTAATTATTGTTACCGATGATGTAATTTTTAAGGAAAAAAATAATGTTTAATAGTTGAATGTAACAATCTCCCAATTAAAATTAAAAAAAATCAATCAACCGGTTTAATTAAAATAATTGAGATATTTACAGATGCGGAATGTATTTTGTATATTTTGTACTATTTATGTGTGCTTAGAAATATTTACATCGTCGTATATTCATTGTACAGAGTCTGATACTGATGGAAATGATGATGAACCAAGTAAGTTTCCATGTGTTTTACTGTTTTAATTTTAATTTTATTCAACTTAATTTACTTTGAATGAATTTATTCATCACTAGATATTTCGGTATGAGATATACTCTACGTGTAAAAAGGCTAATAATATTATTATTCGATTGCTTAGACCAAATTAGGTGAAGCGATGTTTGAATATGGAAATTACTGGTTGACAAGGGAATGTTTTAACCACTAAGCCACCGCTGCATAATATAAATATTATTACTGATTAATTATATCATTTGGGAAATTTGAGTTTTTTTTCCAGATGAGAAATTACTAAGATGACATTCTCTTTGTTAGCTAATGGATAAATTACGTAATGCTTGATATTACTTAAAAGACTATACGGTTAGTAGGTAATTAGGTAAATTTATGTTCATCTTAACAGTCCAGTATAATAAATGTATGAGATAACTGTGCTTGAATTGTAATATATATATATATATATATATATATATATATATATATATATATATATATATCACAAGATTTAAGACATAAAATTCTTGGTCTACTTAATTTACTATTAAGTTATTTGAATATCTAAAACTATTCATACTTAAAGTGAAACTGTAGTGAACAAAACACTGGTTGGGGACAATCGAATGTATTTAAGCAAAGATTACAGACTATCTCAGTAAATTCTGATTACCAAACAATGAACAGTCAATTTGCAAATTAACAACCAATTGTTTCAATCTTCACTGTTTCTTCTCTTATTCCATTGCTCATGCATTTTCCAAACGATTGCGCTTCATTTCAGTTCTTTCCTAATCGGTCTTCTGCCAAAGTACATTCTATGTCTGACCCACAACATATACTACTTACATGGATATAAGTAGACCACACCACAAAACCATTCTCAATATAACTGACGTTAGCTTTAAGTCTATTTACAAGTAAGTTGTAAATTGATGATAAAGAAAAACGAATAGTTACTATTATGGATTATTGCTAAAGTTTTAATAGATTCAACAGAAATCTACTCTATAATTTACAATTAATTACTTTATTTGTAAAATAACCACTTGAAATTGATTGTAAAACTGTAATACTAATGACAATAACTCTGGAAGATGTTGAAATTATTTGTCAAATAATAAACTTTTTTAGTATCTTTACTGTAATTTTTTTACTAAACGAACTCTTTAATTGTAAGCAAAGATGGTTAGTGATTAGCAGAGGAATACAGAGCGCTCGTTTTGTCCTATTTGGGACTCGTCAGCTGGATGTACCTGCATCTTAGAGTTGATATTCACTCTGGGGCTCGAACTCTGAAATGCAGGTACATCCAGCTGACGAGTCCCAAATAGGACGAAACTCGCGTTCTGGATTCCTCTGCTAACCACTAACTATCTTTGCTTCAATGCTTGTGAATTAAGGCTATATCGAGATAATACGCACAGTATGCACATATATCGATTTGAGACTGACCAATTGCAGTCCTAAACATCAATAGGAAGATCCAAACAAACAATACTAAGTGAATCTAAAACTTTATTTGTTTTTTTTGTAAAATCTTAGTGATTCCATTTACATTTATTTGTCTGGTAAACTACATATGTGTATCCAGTATTCATAAAGCTAATATCTATCAACAGAACATTTTTGTTTTAGGAGTTGTGAATATATGAAAATTTATAAAAAAATGTTTTATGCTTTATTACTTTATCCTGATTAAAGTTAGTTTATTGAAGATCAGTATTTTAGATCAATTATTCAAATCATTCTAAACCTATTGATAATTTATATAGTTTATGTGTAAATGGAGACAATTTCTTGCTTAGTTAAATGATCTAGATGAGATTTCCTTTTCTGAACTAGATGATTCGATTTTGAAGCTTTGTTGGTTGTTCTTCTAAACAACATCAGAAGTTTATCTACAGACTTATATCATCATGTATATTTAAAAATTGTCGATTGTTAGAAGAGATTTCATTATAGTTTAATGACTTTAATGTCTATAGAATCTCTATTAAAATTCACAATTGTAATGACTAGTAAGATTAAATCATATAGAAAAATCTACATAGACTATGGAATGTTCAGTATAACTTCCTAATCATACTACTTATAATATATGACTGCAATTTTCATTCTGTAATACTATCATAATGAAATTAATCGAAACATAGTCATAAAACTGTTATCATCTTGCAAAGATTTGTATGTAATTTGTCTTATTTAAAAGAATTAATTATCTGATCATTTCAAAAATCAAGTAGATGTGAACGATTTGAGTTTATTAAGGGTATTTCTTTGATTTCATATTAGTGCACGAGCAAAAGTAATTCTCAGTTGTGAAAGATAATCAGCACTAATTTCAACAATTATTGATGAATTAATTACTTTACATTTCGAAACGTCGTTGTGAATGATACAGAACATTACTAGTAACTGGTATATTTGGGTTAAGAATGGTTATACTATTAAGTGATTCTATTTTTTCTTAAGAATTTCCCTCCAATATTTTAACTCGACTCATACCAAAACTAGTAGCCATACAAAAATTTAAATACACACAATATACATAAATCTGGACCACTTACATTTATATCAGATTGTAGAGAGAATCATAGTTTCCCAAAACATCTGAATAGATCCAAGTAATCGGTTTTTTAAAACTCCAACTTAGCGATTTCAAAAACGTAGTCACAGAGATTTTTATCTGATTATGTAAAATGTTTACTGTTTCATGAAAATATTAAGATAACTATATATTATGTTGGTGTTCTTAGCTTTAAAAATACACTGGAATATGATCGAAAGAATTTAATCAGCATTACTGTAGAAACCTTTGTGTTACAGGTCCTCAATAAATGCAACTTTCAATGTAAATGTGACTAGTTCAACATCATGCTATTCTTCATTGAAATATGAAATAGCAGAGGTGACATGAAATAAAGTTAAGGAAAATACCTATTTTAGCCTTTTTAATACATAATTGTACCGAAAATTGTTTCCAAAAAGAAGTAGTAGGACTTTTCATCTCTAAATTACAGTAAAATTGTTCGGATTTCAATATTTAAAACCAAATTTTTTCCTTAAGAAATATTGTTTTCTATATCGATTTCAGTGGGATTTCATCGACTTATTTATAGTTTAAATAAACATAAAGAAAGTTTGATAAGTAAAGATTTCAAATACTTATAAATAAAGATACAATTTTATTCTTTTTAAAAAATAACATCACCGTTATCAATTCGTCCAATTACTAATATTTAAATTCGTGAGTCAATCTAAGTTAGACCAACATTTAAAATCTGGAAGCATTGAACGAACCTTTCGTCTTAGTACGGGACTCCTCGAAAGTGAATATCCACGATCCCCCACGAGGTACTCAAACCCAGGACCTTCGGTCGCGAGTGCGAACGCGGGTACCCAACGGTTTTAATGTCTAACTTCAATCGATACATGAATGCCTGCGCAACCATTCATCCATTGTCCAAGGTAGATATCTGTCTCTACCAGACACGGATTAGAATCCACTTATTACACACACTGCTGAGAAGTTCCATACTACGACGAAATGGTGGTTCAGTGCTTCCAGGTTTTCAATGGTGCTACAATCTCCACAAATTCCCATTCTGATAATCACTGATAGTCTCCATAAAACAAGACAAACCAATAAACTTAGTTCACTTAATTTATCAATTCATACTGATGAATATGCCTTATCTACAGTTACATTTTTATAATGACATGAATTAAAATACCAAATAAAAAATATGGTAAGTAAAGTATTTTTAATGTTTACATTATTTATTCCACTTATTCTTCTCTTATTTTTCAAAGAAAAATCAATGTTTTTTCTTTTTTCTTTGCATAATTAATTATAATGAAAAAGTTATTTTGACCTCAATAATCTAAACGATTCCTATCGAAGAAGATAGGTAATCAGAATAGATTATCACTGCTATTGATTTTAGCTTATATAGAAATGAGGAACATAAATTTTTTCAATGTACCGAAAGGTAGAATGGAATAGGCTAATTATATATATATATATATATATATATATATATATATATAATTATTATTGATGAACTCGGAAAGATTACTGTTGCTGATGTTAGTAGATCAAATATAGTTATATAGGATGGTTAATTTTAGTACCCTTATTTTATTTAATTTCTGTTTATCATGTTAATGTAGCTATAAAACTTGATTATAAATAAAAATGATATATTTATGCTATTCCAATGAATAGAGAAGTTAGATTTTTTTGATATTTCGTGACTCAATATAAGCTATTTCTTCAGAGAACAAATAACCACATTAAAATTAACGTAAAATAAGCACAAGTCAATGACTTGTTCAGACTTGTTTTTTTGATTCATGCTTTGATCCTTTGTACTATTTAAACTTGGGTTAATTTTAAGTGGCTTACACTGAGTCATAAAAAATCAGAAAATTTTACTTCAAAACTGACTTCAAGAGATATTTCCTGGAGTTCTAGTGAGAAGCAGTAACCAGTGGAGTTCAACCAGGTTTGTTGTGAGATATCAATTCACTGAAGACAATTGGTGAACGGTTGCTCAACTTCGTGGATTGGTTGGGGTTAGACATAAACACCATCTGATGCCGGCCGGCTCAGTGGTCTAGTGGTTAAGTGCTCGCGCGCGAAACTGATAGATCCAGGGTTCGAATCTCGTGAGGCTGGATCATGGATGCGCACTGTTGAGAAGTCCCAGATTAGGACGAAACGGCCGTCCAGTGCTTCCAGGTTCTCTATGGTGGTCTGTCTTCAATTGACTCATGATTTCAATTATGAAAAATGTTTCGACTTATTGAGATATTACAAATAAAAATGATTTTTATTTATAACAATCCACTCAATTTACTCAAAATTATCAAGTCAAAGCTTGGTAATGATATTTATAAAACTGGATTGTTTTATTTTTATTTTTTTCTTTCTACTGGGTTTTTCCTTATAGATAAATGTTATCACTTATTTCTTGTTTTTAATAAAATACATA